TCTTAGTGCTGGGCTTCAACCCGCTGCGCCACCAGGGAGGGCCCAAAGAATGTATTTTTTAAAATAATAACAAGACTAAGGAGATTATAATGCAAAATTCTGCAATAAAAAGGCAAATAAACAGCCTGAACTAGTTCTCAAACCCTTCTAAAGTCAACTATGCTTGCGTGCCAACATGGCGCTGGCTCTCTCCCTCTCCTCTCTTAACTCCAGTGGTTCCCCAACATGCTCATTAATAACCCAATGTGCTTATCTTCTTTGTGATGCACAGGGCCAGCATCAGTTCTCTAGCCTCAGAGACTTTGTGATGCCATGGAGTCCAGACTAAAAAAACAAAACTTAAAACAAAAAAACTCAGTTAGCACTTTGCTGAAAACTTTCACTGTGTACCATTTTACTGTTTACGACTGTACGGAGAATAACTCTAATTCCCCTACCTAGAAGTCAGTGTCCTTTATATAATCTAGTCCTGAGACCCCTCTGGTCCCAAACTCTGGACCCTCCAAGCATTATCTCTGTATGCGCATTTCCTTATGCCATTTCCCAATTTTGAAAAGTTGTATGAAATCCCTTCCTCAGCCCTGAGTTCCCACAAAATCCTTCCCAGTGCAACACCATAGAGCCTTTCTAGCCAGTACATTCTTAAAATGCTACAGCACAGATTTGTACCATTCTTTCAGCAGTTAATAAATATCACATCTGTATCTTCTCACAGCCTCCACAATGTCCAAACATACTGGCCTGACTACAAAAAATGTGCAGTATTCACATTATGAATTTACTGAGTTACCTTGGGCATCTGAAATGACTGAGCCATGTGTGAGGACAGTGTCACTAGGGCGGTCCCACCAACTCCAGCGCAAAGAGCTGTGCTACTGGACTATGATAGCCACTTTTCAGCGGTTCAATTCTCAGCCAACTGTGGGCGTAAAAGCAGAATTGAAGTGCCCAGGAACCCACCTTAGATTTGTAAAGTCCTAGTCTGAGTCAATATAAACAAATATAAAAAGTACCAAAGGAACTGAAAGCTGAACATAGTCAAGAAGTGCTGAGAGCAAGGTAACTGCTCTGAAAGGGATTTGTCTCATTACTTCTGATTTAGGGTCCCTTAGTTTTAAACTAAGGATAACCAACACCCCTGCCTCAAAAATCAATTGTTTTGTGAGAGTTAAGCTGCAGAAGTGCCTCTGCCTGGAAATTTTTCTCCCCCTTTTAAATGCCATGGGAAAAGTTTCAATAGACAGCCACAGTCTGCCCAGGAAATAAGTTGGTAGAAAAAGTGCACTCCTGATGTGCTTACCATATTGTGGTTAAGTATCTGCTTATGAACCTGTCTCTCCGACCAACGCGTGAGCTCCCCAAGAGGAGGGAATCAAGGACTGGACAGCTTTCTTACTCATCTTTGTATATACTGAGTCTAACAGACTGGCACACTGAGGGGCTCAATAAATGTCCTCTCAATTAAGCAACGAATTCCACCTTAGGTTAAAACATGTTCAAAATGCCAACAGCCTGTTAAAAAGTAATGGAAAGAAGTTAAATAATATATTGAAATGCAACTGTCTGTTAAAAAGTAATGCACTATTGAAGTCATGTGCATTTTACATTTTAATTTTTGCAAAAGCAAAAATTATTTACTGGTATTTTCTTTCTTCAGAACTACTTCCAAGAAATGCCATAAAAAAATCTTCTAACAAATTATCTTATTTTATCCCTAGTCTGATCAGTATCTTCCACTTTTTAGATAGGAGGAGGTGGCATACTTTCCTGATCATCCGATCCTTCTCCAGTGTTTCCACATCAGTTTTAACTGGTCTATTTCATTACCTCTTTACCTTTAAAAAAATATCTGAATAGTCAATGAGCATGGTTATCAAAGAACAGAAGCTTAGAATCAGTGGGAGAAGGTGCACCTGCACTTGACTCTGCCCCCAAGAGTCATCATTCATTAAGAATCACATCAATTTGGGGCTCTCCCTGGTGGCACAAAGGTTTAAAGCACCACATTATGAAGCTCTCCCTCAAAAGCCACTGCAGCTCAAGTTCGATCCCCAGCCAGGGAGCTGACCTACATGGTGTGGCAGACCTCTCCTGACCCACCCACTTCTCTCCTCAGCAGTGCACCTTGTCAATCAGCCTGTTCTGTTTCCCACTCTGTCTCTGGTGAATCCTCTCACCCACCATACCTTTGGCCTGTACCCCAGTTCTGTATGCATAAATAAATAAATCTAAAAAAAAAAAAAAAAAAATCACGTCAATTTGAAAGGCACCGTTTAAAAGTAAAAGCACTGCCTATTTTGTGGTGTTGTATTCATGTATATGTATTATACATGCTTACACATTTAATTAAGACCCTTGAAATTGTTGATGAAAACTTCTCATGTTAACTGGACCTGCTTTTTGATTCCAAAAGGCATAAAATACTAGCTATTGATAGTGGGGGGAGGGGGCGGAAATGACTCATAGGGTCAAAGAGCAACCATACACAGCCTCACATAAAAAGCTCTCATGATGCTGATATCTATCAGAATATTCTTCTGATAAAGCAAAGGTAATCAAGTTAAACACTGATCACAGATTACTAGGGTGAAATGTTGACAAAAACTGGCTTTTTATAGTATAGTTCTCTCATGCATTTTATCTCCAAAATTAGTTAAAGCAATTTTGCAGAATATATGGGAAATAGTGCATCTACTCATCTCTCCAATGACGTAAACTCAAAACACATCCAAATTTGACTTAAATATGACTTTGAAAACTGTGTGTTAGACTGATGATTAAAAAGTCCAAAACAAAAAAAAAAAAACAAAATCCAACACGCCTAAACAAGCACATACCTTTTAACCCAGTGTGACTGCAAGCATTCCCAATACTGACAAAGTATGAAAGCATAATTTCTTCTTCTAAAACATGCATTCTGAAAAGAATGATGATTGCGGACCCTCCCTGGTGGTCCCACGAGTTAAAGCACAGCACTATGAAACTATTAAAGCCACTGCAACACAAGTTCCATGGGCTGGGGGTGGGGGGAGGTAGAGGAACGGGGCAGCCCATGTGGTACAGCAGACCTCTCCGGACCCTCCGGCTGCTCCCCTCAGCAGTGTATTTCAGTCAATCTACCTGTTCTGCTCCCCACTCTGTCTCTGGTGAATCCTCTCATCGACCCTGCACCTCTAGCCTGTACCCCAGTTCTGTATGTATAAATAAAATAAATCTTAAAAAAAGAAAAAAAAGGATGATTGCTTCCCAAAAAAGTCATGCTATCCTTTAACCCAAAACCTACCTTAGAGATAACTAGGAACAAATGAGAACATTTATAGGAATGTTTACAAAAACATTTTTTATCATGCTGAAAAAACCGGAAGCAACATAAAACTCCATTAGTAGAAGAGTATGGAGTTATTGAAGTCAGAGGTGTAATTAAAGACATTAAAGATAATATTTATTAAGCTAAAAAACATGCTATAGAAGAGCATATAAAAGAAAATTGCATACATTTATCTATATGCAACATTCAAAAATATCTTTTGGCTGCTGGAGTTTTCTGAGACTTTTTTACTTCCTCTACAAAATATTTTAAAAGCCCTAACGAACACTCATCGTTGTTAAACTACTTTTTAAAAGATGACACTAAGTTCAGCTGGTATCTCCTGAAATCGTGGAGTTCCCATAATTATGTGGTTCAGCCTCTCAAAGGCAAGCACTGCAGACACTCACAATGACAAACGCACTCTGCCTCTGATTCAACAATTCCACTCTCAGGTATTTATAATACAGTCATTGTCACACACTGTGTGAAGACACTCTCTTGTTCAAGAATATTTACAGTGGCACTGTAAACAGTGGATATGACTATCAATAGGGACTAAATAAATGACACTATTCATGCAATGAAGTTCTGTGGAGCCATAAAATAGGTTGAGGTAGCTCCATGTTTGAGGTGAGTGGCAGACAGGAAAAATTCAGGTTGTTTTTTTGTTTGCTTTTTAAGGGCAGATCAAGAGGGAAGGGGCAGGTCAAGGGAGACCCAGACATCTTGGCTTATATTTACTCAGACTATCTCTAGAACACCAAAAAACTCTCAAGAGTGTTAGCTGTGGGGTTGGTGATCCAGAAGTCACCAACTTACTTTTTCACTGTAAACAGTGTGGCAACCTGTACTGTTTGAGTTGTTTTTCCCTATCTGAACACTACTATAAAGTTTTAATGGTGTTCTTTAATTATGCAGTACATTACTTTTCTGTTGTATAAACAAACCTTTAAGGAAAACAAGGTTTCCAAATGATAAAAACAATGCCATCAAAACCAAAAGTGACTGTAAAGGATTTGAAAATTCTGACGAGCATTTGCTGCTTTACAGACTATGAAAAGTAGGCAGAATGGTAAACCTGCGCTCATCTTCTGGACAAAGATATTTACACTGTTGCTAGCCAACAAATCCACATCTGTCTCGCCTAGCCCTTGTTTTTAAAACTCTGCTTTCTCTCTTGCCACATTTAACACTTGTTCTATGTAGATTTTTTTTCCTACTGGACACACAATCAGTGGGAAACTGGGGAAGAGATTGTTTTCTTCCTTTCCTCTGAAAGGACCTCTTCCAGGTCAGCTGGGTCTAGCCTGCCCTGACAGGATAACAAATGAAAAGCCCATTTAAGACAAATGAGACAATGACTCACTAAATAGTTTTTACTCCTAGGTTGTTTCTCACATACATGTTAGAAAAACACATCCCCTGGAAGAACACTCTCCAGTATATTAACCAGAAGGCTCCAACCAGCTGTCAGTAACGTGCTGCCACTTTGGAGAACCCATTTCTCAGGAAATGGAAGTTACTCAGGTGAGAGATGGGAACTAACACTTCCCTCACTCTTGTGCACTGTCTGAATAAAGAAGAGACGCCCAATCAAAACACCCAACACATGACTTACAATCACACATGCAACTTTTCTGAAAGTAAGTGGCAGACACTTAGAAAGCAAAAATGAAGAGGCCGAACTTACCTTTGACACTTTTTCGATTAACATCGGCTCCCTTTTCCAGTAGATACTGCGCAATCTCTTTGTGTCCTTTGTAACACGAAATCATCAGGCAGGTATGCCCGTGTCGGTTGGACACTTCCAAATCGGCTTTGTGTTCCACGAGGTACTTCACGATCTCCAAATGACCGTCGAAACAGGCAGCACGCAGGGGAGTGGAATTGGTTAAAGTCGTGTTGTTGACGGACGCCCCATGATTTAACAAAGACTGAACCACCTTCAGATGTCCTGCGGCAGAAGCGGCCCACAGAGGGGGTGCCCCCTCGATGGTTTCGCCGTCAAAATTCACCGAGCCTCCCACCTCGATGGAGGCACTGCACTGCTCCAGGAGGAACTCCACCATGTCCAGATGCCCATACCTGGCCGCCATCAACAGTGGCGTGGCCCCGTTGGTTTTTTCCGAGATCAAGGAGGAAACCTCCTCTTTGGATTTGCTGGCCAACAACTTGGTGAGAAGCCGGAGTTTGCCATCCCGAGCTGCGTTAAATACTGCTGTCTTTAGATCCATTTATGTCCGGCCGAGAGGCTGTGCTCGCTTTCTGTACCCTTCAAGGCAAAGGTCCAGCTTAACTCCCTCGTCACTGGCAGGGGTTACCGAGCCAAAGCTCAGCTTAATCACTGCAGCCCAGAGCGGACCGAGAACCGCGGCAAGTCTGTTCTGCCTGGCCTTCCAACATCGGACAACCAGAGCCCCGCACTGGAGAAAGAGCAAAAAAGTAGCAGTGGTGAACCGTTCCCAGGTCAAGAGGAAATTGCACACGCTTCAGCTTTTCTCCACGTCTACGCTCAGGGACTCCTCCGCCCTCACAAATAAAAGCTGGGGGAGGACGAGACGAAAAGGTGCGGACCCCCCAGTGTTCCCACGAGAGCCCGTCTCTTCCGCGGCTTCGGGAACCTGAAACACTACAGGCGGCCGATTTTCTCGCCGCCTCGGCAGCCAAGCTTTGTTCTAGTTTTGCTTTGCACACGCCCAGGGGGGAGTACACCCCAAAGCGGCAGCAGACGCGGCTTCGGAAATGTTTCTTTCTCTCCCATCTGCAGAGGGGAGTGAGCCAAGGGCGCGAGGCGGCGAGGCCTCGTCGCGGCCAGCCCGGGCTTCGAGGAGGAACAAAAAGGTCGGACACGACGGCCGGGGGCCAGCTACGCCCAGAACCCGCGCCCCAAAGGTTCTTCCCTTTAAAACTACCCGAGGCGCTCAGAAAATCCTGCGGCCTTTTAGCTAACTTCGTCCGCCTCGTTGTGAGCACCCCCCTCCGCGAGCCGCGGGTGCCCACAACCACAGTCGCCGCCACATAACCTTCACCCCACACCTTCCCCCCAAACGGACCCTTCCTGCCCCAGCTCCCCGATCCACCCGGCCC